CGGGGAAGACGCCGACGGCGTGCGGTGGCGTCGCGTTCGCCGATCAAAGCGAGCAAAAAGTGTGCGCACTCGCAAGACGCGGCCAACCTTTCCTGATTCTTCGTCCGATGTGACAAAAAATGCCATGCCCCCTTGGCTTGCCTCTTGGCATAATGGGGCGCCATGAGCGAACGCTGGTTGCACATCCAACCCGGTCGTTCGCGGTTATTATTTCGCGGTGAATCCGTTCGATTCCCCCGACTGGGCGGGTCGCGAATGGATGGTGGTAGGGGCATTTCCACTTAGCGCGTGGTGTATCGAGCGAAAAAATGGCTGATGGCAGGGAAAGCACGTGGCGAGTTGATAAAACGCCGCGCCGCCGGATGCACCGCACCGCGCGAAAGTCAAAGCTCGGCTCTATCGCGCAAGCCTCTGCTCCTCTCACCCGGCACCCCGGGAACCGGGAACCGCGCGCGGTTTTCGGCGATGGTCGCGGGAAGGGAGAACGTCGCTTCTGCGATCCTGGTGCCGCCGTGGTCATCAACATTCTTTTCGCAAGCGAAATCGCTCTCCTTTTCTCTCGTGGCTTTCTCCGTATAAATGCGGCTGATAAGCGCGACGGTTCTCTTTATATTACTTTATAATGAGCAAAATGCAAATAAAGCACATCGATAATGAAGTGTTTTAGATGAAGGAAGATGAAACGAAATTGTGAAAAAAATGTCATATAATTTTCTACCGTTTTGGAAGATAGACTATAGAGTCACGAAAAGAATTCAACTTTCGTAAACATTATTGCGTCAATCTATCATAGTGAATTAAAGGGATATAGTAATGAGTTGTGCAGTTAGGCTGCGTCTATTTTGTGTTCATTTTTTCCGTATGTGCGTGCGGCCATGGATAGGCTCAATCAAAAGTTTTCTCTCACTGGTGGGAGAGGAAAGTGAGAGTATCATCGAGCATCGACTGCTGGGACTTAACTTTAAATGATATAGGCTATGTTTACACGACTCAGTTTACATCGAAGTTATAACATTGTCAATATTATAAAACTGTTATAAAACTGCAATTATAGTTATTCCATTCTTCAAAGGAATAGTTATGGTTGACCAGTTTCATAACATCGATGTTATAATTTTGGCAAATTAAGCCGTGCAAACGTCATTATCGCGAGTGTACTATCTTAATGGCACGTTCAGTACTGGTGCATACAGCGTGATATGCAGTATCCGGTAATTTTACGATCCAGTGCATCCTATACTGAAAGAAAAGATTGGCTGCTGCAGCAAATTAGATGATAAAATATGGCATGGCACTTTTAACTGGCTGCAGCAGCCAATTTTTAATTGCATTAGCCTATCCTGCAATGTCAATATAGGATTTCGATAGGTTAAAGCGAGGAGCACACTCTTGCATAATGCATAAGACATAAGAAATCCAACCAATCAGAGTTCTTTGTTTCATGGAAAGAAAGGAAACAAAGGATTTTGATTGGTACATTTTCTTATACATTACGTGTTATGCGTTATGTAAGAGTCTGTGCTCCCCGCTTAACGCAACCAAAAATTGTTGCAACCAATTAAAAATGATGAGCACGAGCGTAGCATGATGGACAGCGCGCGAGTCTACCTAAGTCTGCTAAGGGACTCGATCTCTGACAGATTCAAGAAATTTCACGCGCTCGTAGCTCTTTTTCAGCGGTCTGGCAAACCATCAAGAGTATATATTGCCAAGAAAATCTCTCAAAACTGCCTTTCAGAACCGGCGTTAAATTGTATAGGTCTCGTATGTTTGCGTACAACCTGCGTGCGCACTACGGGCATACGTACGAGAGGTAGGCCTGGTCCCGACATACTAACCCACTTCAGTAATAAAGAATTGTCTGCCAAGATTAAGAGTAATGAAGATTTCTCATAGAACATTTCCCTTCTCACACACAAAGTGTGGAGAAATACATAAAAATTGTCACTGAAGCTGCCACCTATGTTTACGATGCTGAGAACAGAGATAAAGCAATTAGAGCAAAGCTTTTAGCTTGCTCAGTAAACCCAAAAATTAACACAAAATCTGATTATCGCATACATAATGTCTAAGAGGTAAGTATTTCCTTATAATTACGAGCCCAATGATAGGGTGGTTGGGTCGGCTTGGGGTGGGTCTCAAAATGCAGCCACCTTCACGCGGTCAGTCCTGAATTACTTCTAATACGAAGTAAGCCAAGAGTTACATGTACTTAAAAGCTGATATATGTGACCTTTCAAACTCATATCTTAAAGGATAAGATGTCTCTAGTTGAATATTTATCACTCCCGAAGTCAAATAGACACATTCCCGGAGTCAATAGTTCACAAGAACCATGTGTTGCGGGTTTGCCTACCATTAAAGCGATTTTAAAATTTCAAGGCCATTGCGGAGGCTCAAGATATGGTCCGAAGATTCTAAAAAAATTCCTGTGAACTCTCTTCCCTCATTATCCTTCATATTTTCCACACTAGGCCGATTCCGATTTCGAATATTTTCCTTTTTCGATACACTCTAATATATAGACCTTGGTTCAGTCGTTTTCAAGATTTTGACGTGGTTATATACCTAGTTGTCAGCATTTTGTTTAGAGAAGTGTACATGGCAAGGATAGTCTCTCGGTAGTTTGCCATTGCCTGCCGAGAGGAGCTACGAACGTACGAAAATTTTTCGGTTCTACCTGAGATTGAACCCGAGATCTCTAGCACAGCAATCTCGTACACTGCCTGTTACGCCACGCTCGCACTCGCGCTCAGGATTAATTATTTCTCATTTGGTTATTTTAATTTTACGTCTGTACTCATAAATGCTCGATTTTAGATTTACGGCAAAACCTTTAGTACCAAATTTAATCAAGGCAGACACAGTTTTATACATAACGATAAAAAGCCGTATGAATGTTTGGCGTGTGACAAGAGCTACACGACAAAATTTGCACTTTATAGACACATGCGAAATCAGGTCATTCATGATATAACGTTTTAATTCATTAGCAGATTCTCAATTGTCTTTTTATTTTTGTTATATACTCATATAATCATATTAGGTATAATAAATTATTATAATATACCACAACACACATTATATATACATATATAATGTGTGTTGTATAACAAATTATTTATTTTTTAGTCACACAAGTGAGCATAGCATATAGCATATAGTAAAGAAAAATAGCGATTAACAATGGAATAGACGATTAAGTATAATTATAACTACTCTTAATGATAATGACGAATCGATGATGAAAGAAGTTGAGAAATGAAGATGTAATGTTTTTACGAGACATGACACGTATAAATGGCAGTTTTCCAGTAGATATAATTTTTCTAGAAGATACAATTGAATACTGTCAGAGCATAGGAGCACTGACGTGTAAAGCTGACAATGGGTTTAGAAGACAAAATCATCCAGTAAACTCTCACTGCTTAATTCTTTAAAAATTTTAATATGATTGATTCATGCCTTTATGTCCTTGCTGGATTTAAGGTAGTACCATCATGAATTGAAAACAGCCAGAAATTTGAAAACATCCTTGAAATTTAAACTATAAGTTGTTCTAAAAGGCATTGACACGCTCATGCAATTACAATGAGATCGACGTTTCAATATTGAGATATAAGCAATTAAAAACTGCATTTTATAGCGCGTTGCTTATACAAAGTTCAATGAAAATGTCGCATTTACTTTTGTAGGGCCTAAATAAGCAGTGATATGTTAATGAAAAACGAACATACACACACAATGCATGGAGGAACATGAAGCGGATACTGCGAAAAAAATGTCATATAATTTTTTACCATTTAATTTGGAAAATAAGAATCGTGGAAAGCATTCCATTTTCGTAAACATGTGTCAACCCATCATGTGAATCGAAGAGCGATAGCAATGAACTGCGTCATGCCCGTGTCACATTACGCATTAGAGATTGAGGATTGCGATTATTAAAGATTAGAATTCGACCACAATAAGATAATTTTAATTTTAATTCGTTTCGTTCTATAATAATTGGCTGAATTCTAATCTTTAAATCGCAATTCTCAGTCTCCAATGCGTAGTATAACATAGAGATCCTCAAGGGAAAGTCTGGCAAAGCAATGTTCAAGTTTTGATTGATGCAGCCATTATGTGGCAAAATTTTCATTTCATCCTTGTTTAACACTCAGTAAATAACAAGGATGAAGTGACCTAGATGTTACCACTTACCAGTTTGTACCATCAACGTTTATCAGACTCTCCCTTGAGGGCCTTTAGTGTGACACAGATATTAGATTGCGTCTATCTGTGTTTATTTTTTTTCTACGTCTGTGTGCGGCCACAAGAACAGGTGCAATCAAAAATTTTCTCTCATTAGCGGAAGTGAAAAGCATAGACTTATAAGATAGTTCATATGAGAGAAACTGAAGGACAGCGCTACTCCCAAAATAGTTGGTTCTCTCTCTTATGAGAGCGGTGGAGAACCAATCAGCTTGAGCGTAATTCACAACTCTTGGTCACTGACTTTTGAATGTCTATCTTCGTTGCACTCGGCCACTCCCTGGTCTGTAACGGCGACTAATCAATTCACTACTATTTCAAAATTGACTACCAATACTGAAAATCTATAGCACACATAACGTTAACTGTAAAGCATTTTTAGCGTCAGTAAATTTGGAACAAGCCTAGAAAAGAAGAGAACTACTCCGTAAGCCCGCGACTATTTCTCTCTCTTTCTATAAAATCTTCAGCTTCTCTCGTACAAATTAGTGTTTTTCTAGTAAGAATTAGGACGCCTATCTCGCGCGTGTAATTAATAGGGAACATGAGATAGAATGAAAAAGCAACAAGCTATTTTCTCTTACTATCGCTTTTTCTCTATCTTACTATCACTTTCGTTCCTTGAATATGGTAGAACCAATAAAAAATCATCACTCGATGGTTTAGCTCTTATTAGAGGAACTTTAATACGAATGCTTCGTCTATCTTAAGCTGCGTTCGGAAACATTATCCGAGTGCCCTCGCGTGTTGTTTTATCCTTGTTGTGCATCCATTATTAAACAAGGATAAGATGATACACGGAGACACCCGAGTGATGTTTCCAAACGCAACCTTGCAAGTCCATGGTGGAAAGTGAGAGTATCGTCACTGAGCGTGCTACTTAAGGGGATGCTAAACCGATTACCCAACTCAATCAAGGTCGATAGTACAGACTCTTTTAATTCCAAATTCGATAATAGTGGTGACATCTTTGATTTAGTTTTTACATTATATTATATAATATATATCATTCTGTCTTACTCAAACGCATACGTCTGTTCTTATCTAACATATGCCAGCACCATCTATCGCAAGACCGCGCAACTACTGCTACGCGGAATTTCGGCTCTGTTGACAGAGCCCCAGTCTTCGCAAAGCACCTGTATACACGTATTTTCTATTCGGTGGAAATATTTCTTTTCTAGACTTTCAATCTTAGTTCTACAAACTCGGTATCGTTCGTTTCAATAATGTGACCTCAGCTGCACGCTTATTTTCAAGATGTGGACTCTAAAACTCTTATATCATTCAATATATATCTGAGGTGACAGCTGTACGAGCCAAAAGTAAGTGAATTTTTAACGAATCTTAAACTTTTTTTCGATTTTCTCAGGAAATCCAGTGCAGCTGAGGTCCTGTTTGTGCGTACTTTAATTTAAACAATAATACTTTTGCAATCCGTACATCCAATACAGAGATTTTTCACCGAATGGAAATGTGGTAAAACACAGGAGGCTTTAGCATCGCGCCTTAACTTTTGAGTAATATTATCGCGAGTGTACTACCTTAAAGGCCATGGCACACACCTTCCGTAACAGTAACCATAAGACGTATCGTAAGAATCAGCCAATTAGAATTAAGAGTTCAAAAAAATTCTCGACTGTGATTGGCTCATTCTTACTGTACGTCTTACGGTTACTATTATGGAAGGTGTGTGCCATGGCCTTAAAGATATGCTCGAGGATATGCTTCGTACTAGCGCTTACAGCTGTAAGCATTATTTATGCTTGTTTAATATTTGAGACAATAATGATGAAATCATACTTACAGCGTATGACTGTGTGAGTGAAAAAACGAAACGTACCCTAAATGTATAGAACAATCGTAATAAGAACTCAGTACAAATTTAAACGGCTGCGTTTTTAGAAAACAGTATAATTTTAAGATTGGATGTATGTGTTGACTATTATTTTTTTATGTATAACTATTATTTGTGTACCATTATAAATCGACAAACAAAAACCGTATTAAAGCAACTAATATTAGAGCATTAATAATTTGGGCCTCAATTATAATTGAATCATCGCCATATCCTTATGATAAAGTTCTACTTCTAAAAACTTCTTCATTTAAATAAAGATTAACATACTATTCCGGGAGGAGGGGAAGATTCCATTTGCTTACAAATTGTTTGCCTACACTACAGCACCGTTTGCCTAAATCACATTTGCCGACGACAGTTCGTTTACGCACAAAATTGTCACCTATACAATTCGATTGCCTACATGCAT